GGAGGCAGAGGACAGAAGGGAGATGTATACTGTGGAGTCCAGAGAAGACAGGTTCCAAGTGAAATGTGATGAAGCAGGTGACAAGAATGGACCAAACTGGAGCCATAAGAGCACCCCTCTTTGGCTGATCTGAAACTATTGGGGTCCTAAAGGCGTGTGTGTGTGTGGGGGGGTGGCTCCCATGATGCTGAGAGTAGGCACTGGGACCGAAGGGCATTTTAACCACCGAGTTCTTTGTACCTTTATCTCGTTCATAAAGGAGGCTCCCTTGAAGCTGGACGGTCTTGGAGCCTGAGTGTGAGTGAAAGAGGGCGGCCGCCTGAAAACCTGGGGAGTAATGTGCTCTCCTAGGGTGCGAGGGTAGGAGACCTTTTGGAGATTGTAATATTAGCCCCCCCACCCCCGCCCCGCCCCAAGCCGCGTTTAAACCTCCGCGGGGAGAAAGCACTCACTGCGAATTCTGTCAGCCTGGCGAATCTGCTGGAGAGCCTTCCGAATGCTGTGGCTGTCTTGTCCTGTGGTCAGGACGACCCCTACAGGTAGACCACGGCTCTGAAGAGCACTTGCGACTCGGTTGGCCGTGTGCACCCAAACGTCTTCAGCGGAGGAAATGACTCCGGCGTGAGCCCACTGGAAATACTTCATGACCGTTACCAGCACCCGGATGGGTGAAGGGATTGTCCGAGAAAAGGTCGGGTGGCTGTTTTGATTGTCTAATTCGTAATTCACGCAAGCCCAAGAGAAAATCCCTTTGTTCCAACCGTTTGCCAGGAGCGAGGCGGCCTCGCAGTAGCCAGGATTGGCAGGGCCTATAAATCCTGAGGCCATCTGGTGGTGAGAAATGAAACTGGAAAGGGCTCGGGCAGTCTGGCAGTCTTCATTGAGAATCACATACTCAAAAGAGTAACCCGGGTCAAACGATGGGTCCCTGTTGATCCGCTCAATGGCTAATTGAGCAGCAACCTCAGGCAGAGCCTTTGAGAACAACGGATCACAAGCCCAAGGGCCCACTACCCCTATCTTGTAAGGGGGCGCCCACACCTGCTGCGGGATGGTCGTGAGGGCCAGGAGGCGCAAGCACCACAGGAGCCTGAAGGCCGCAAGGCCATGGTGTCTTCGCTGTCTTCTGGGAGCCGCACACCAGAGCATAAGGTGACAAAGAGGCCAGGGTCCCAAAAACATAGCCCTCCTGCTTCCAGCAAGCTAGTGAAGAAATGTTGGAAGATTAGCCTGCTTTCCTGAGGCGGTGTTTCCAAATGTCTGTCAATTAGAAGGAAAAATTCATTACTTGCCTTATTCCTGAAGCTTCTGGAAAGATTCACTACAAAAGAATGGCAAGGAATGGCAGTCCCCAAACTGAAAGTTTCTTCCCACTACCTTGACCAAAACGCCTCTTCTTCTTGTACTGCCTGTACTCATCTCAATAGATGGCACCTCCATCCACCGTTGGCCCCCTTGCTCCAGTCAGAAACCTGGTAGTCAGCTGAGATTCTGCCTTCTTCTCTGCCCCCACATTCAATCTATCACCAAGTCCTGTTGATTCAACTTCAGCAATAGCTACCCGCCTCACAGCATTTTGAGGATTACATGGATAAACATACAGCAAGCGCTTATGACAGGGTCTGGCATATTTTTAGCATTATATTAGCGATATTACTATCATTATCATTATTACAGTTTAAAATGTGCTCATTTTTCTCCACCATAATGCCTCTTGGAGAGAGACACAGATAAAAAACCAATAATGGCAATGCAGAGTAAAAATATAGTATGATTTGGGGCACTTGGGTGGCTCAGTCGTTAAGTGTCTGCCTTCGGCTCAGGCCATGACCCCAGCGTCCTGGGATCGAGCCCTGAATCGGGCTCCCTGCTCAGCGGGAAGCCTGTTTCTCCCTCTCCCACTCCCCTGCTTGTGTTCCCTCTCTCGCTGTCTCTCTCTCTCTGTCAAATAAATAAAATCTTTAAAAAATATATAGTATGATTTAAGTAGCTCAGCAGAGGAAGATAGAGAGGATCACCCAAACTCCGATTTCATGGAAGGTGAGAAGGGAGAAGGGACTGTCTCTCCAACTTGAGTATTGGAAGAAAGGTTAGCCAGGTTAATGGGGTTATGAGGGGGTTGGTGCTAAGCGCCTTCCAGGCAGAAGGAACAGAGTACAGTAAGACCCAGAGGTTTTTTAAAAAAATGTTTTTATTTTTTTAAAGATTTTATTTATTTGAGAGAGAAACAGAGAGGGCACTAGCAGGGGGAAGGGCAGAGGGAGAGGGACAAGCAGATTCTCCGCTGAGCGCGGAGCCCTACTCGGGACTCGATCCCAGGACCCTGAGATCATGACTTGAGCCAAAGTCAGACACTTAACCAACTGAGCCACCTAGGCACCCCTAAAAATTATTTTTAAAGAAAAGGATCTGTTAGATACTTGGAATTCCAAGACATTTGTTCTGCTCAAATCTATGACATCAGCTAAGGCAAGGGACGGGTCACCAAGAGCCTTATATGTCATTCATAGGTTTTTAGATTTAATCCCGTAGACAATAGTTTTAGGCAGAGAAATGGCATAACCAGATTTCCATTTTTAAGAGATTGCTCAAGAAGCAGCGTGATGAACAGGTTGGAAGTGGGTAAGACTGGAGGCTTCCAGGTTGGAAGCTGTTGTAGTAATCGCATATGGGAACTGATGACAACAAGAGAGGGGTCGTAAAGATGTAGAAGAATGGAATCAAACTCCACCAAGATTAGAAAATGTCAAGGAGATTAAGAAAGTAGGACCAACAACAACTCGGTGACTGACAGGATGGAGAAGGTAAGGAGAAAAAGGACTCTGGGGTGATTTTGAGCTTTTCAGACCTAGGCAACTGCTTGGAAAATGAAACAAGTCTCTGAGATAGGAACACTGGAGGAAGGGGATGGAGATATAACACATTCAATTAGACATGGTGAACTGGTATTGTCTGTAGAATATACAAGTGGCAATACCCAGTGGACAATTAGACACACTGGATCTCATTATAGAAAGCTGAGCTAGAGATAGAAATGTGAATGTAATCAATTGATAGAGGATAATGGAAGACATGTAGAAGATTGACAAAAGAGAGCTGTGAGGTAAAGAAAGAAGACAGGACAAAACACTGAGAATCCATGTCACTTAAAGGTCAGGCAGAGAGGAAGGAGGTCATAATGAAAACTTACATGACAAGTCCAGTGAGACAGCAACATCCAAGAGATGGGGTGGTATCTTACAATCCAAGGGAGATGAAGTTTGGAGGATGAAAAGTGTTTAGCCCATCTCACGCTCCACTGAGAAGTCAAGTAAGCTAAAAATAGAAAAGGATCTGTTCATTGGATCTGGATTCAGAGTAAGGCTGCGAGTTAAGGGACCACAGTGAGTCAAAAATGAATGGGAATTAATGGAGTCAGTAAATGTAGAGAACTCTTTCAAAGTGATGCATGCAAAGCCTTTCTCCATCTAGCCCTTGCCTTTATACCCCCATCGCCCACTGTTTTCACCTGACGCTGCAGTAAATTTCCTGCAGTTCTACAAACATATATCACATAGCCTGTCAGGCATAGGATTTGGAAAATGCCGTTCCTTCTGCCTGGAATTCCCTCTTCCCTCCTCTCACATTCCACTCCTGTGTTCTGATGAACTTTACCTTCAAGACCCAAATGAAGTCTTCCCTCCTCTGCTGTAGCCTTGGTTAACACTTTCAGATTGAGTTCATTGTTTTTTTCCATCTGTGCCTCATACTTATACCCATTAGGGAAGGTGTCACTCTGACTTATAAATTGCCCCTATTTCTGGTCTCTATTGTGACATGGATACTGCTGGATATCTCCACATTTATGGGACCTCATACTTTCAACCACAAAGGATGAGCAATAATGAGCGCAACTCCCTATGGGGAACAGAGCCCCCTGGATTGGGAGCTCCTAGAGGTCTTCTTCATAGTCCTAATGCCTAGCCAAGTTCCCAATACAGTAGCTATCAGATAAATGTTTGTGAAATGAATTAAAAAAACATTAAGGTTGATCCAAGGTCAGAAATAACCTCTCCACCAGACATAAGAAGATGAATGAATTGCTTAGGTGGGGGAGATGTTAATGATGAAAATCCTTAGTGAATTTTAAATTCTAACCAAAGATCAAAATAATGGCATGTCTCTCTCTTCAGGGCTGGTGTGTACCAGTCAAGCTCAACTGGTTGTTTATTACTGGCAAAAATTTTGCCTGTGTCAGCCCTGTTGGTTATTATCTTGAGTCTCATTCCTAATTTTGTGGGAAAGTCTGATTCCTCAAGAGACCAGTCAGGGGCACACCTGCAGGATCTTAAAGACCTACCACAATAGTATACCCCAACATCTGTAAACAGGTGAAGTGGGTTAAAATGAGGGTCAAGAAAGACTTAGGGAGGAAATGTCTCACAAAACAGCCTGATCCAGAGGCTGAAGGGTGTATATAATGGAGAAGGGAAACTTCCAACTTTGCTTTCCAAAGGTGGTTCTGGGCTGATTATATCCATAAGGTCCTCAAATCTATTCCCAGATCGTCAGAGTAATCTAGCCCCAATCTCCATTCCCCCAAATAGATTTATTCTGTGTGCTGTGTTGAAGGCGTGAGGGTGAGATTCACAATGGATGAGGTATGAGATGTAGACTTAGCCTTCAAAGAGCTCCCAGCCCAACACTACAAGCTGAGCTCTCTACTCAAGAGCTCACATGCTTCTCTTCCCACTGTCCCCCAACCCAAATCTTTTATCTGTCATGGCAGAACTTGGGAGCCAGGGCACTCTCAGGGTAGCATGTGAGAGGTTCTTATTTCTGGTCTGAATTGTGACAAGGTTATTGAACTCGATGATATCTCTGTCCTTAGAGGACCTCGCTCTTTCAACCACTAGGAGTGGACAACAGAGAGAGTAACTCTGTATGGGGAAGAGAGTCCTGTTCACAAGCAACAGGGCAAAGAGGCCACCCAACGGCCTCTTCTCCCCCAAACACACCCAGTTTTGTGAGTTCTCTCCCAGAAGTGGTACATTTAAGCCAGAAATTAGCATTTGGGTAACAAAGGTTAAGATTTACTGAGTTCTTGCTATGTATCAAACACTGGGCTAAACTCACGTATTATCTTATTGTCAAAACTCAATCAAAAGGAAAAAATTCACCATAACCCTTTGAGGCAGATACTATTATCACCTACACTTACAGATGATGAAACAGAGGCTCAGAAAGGAGAAGTAACTTGCCTGAGGGCACACTGTGGTAGAATGGGGATTTGTACCCCAACTGATTAAGCACTGAAATAGACTGTTGACTGCCCCTAATCTGTGAAGTCACTGAGACCACTATTATTATACCTTCTTTGCTAGCCATACCAAGTTTGAATAATTCATTTGTGGTTGTAAAAATTCCCTTAGTCCCCCCATGAAAGAATAAATTACATAATGAGGGGGAGGGGCAGAGTAAACTAGGAGGAGCAAACACATTCATTATCCAACCAAAAGGAATTTACCTCTGCTGTTCAAGCCCAGTCTTGGGACAACTCTCTGAATCAGGGTTCAGTGTTGCACAACTGGGGGTGGGGGGTACCAGTCACACTGTATTCTATATAGAGCTAATCCTAGTCTTTGAGAATGGAAGTTTTGGGAGTACAATTTTGGAATGTTCTGATTCTCAATTTCCTTACCAGCAAAATGGAGGTAAATTTAATTTAATGCTTTTGAAGTGAGGGATTAAATAAGATAGAACACTGAGCTCACAATTTTCTTTCAATAAATACTAGTTCTTCCTTGCTGTTTAAAAAGAGGACTGCATTGGGAATCAGAAGGCCTGAGCCCTGAGCCCAGTTCTGCCACTGACTTGCCATGTGACATTGAAGTTATCATTCCTCCTCTCTAGATCTCTCTTTTTTTCCCTCGGCTGGACTAGAGGATCTGCAAGTCCCTTTCTTCTCTGATATACATTGATCCTGGGATTCTGTACTTCTTCCAGGCAGTGACCTTATTAAACCTCTGCACCTGTTAAACTGCTTTCTGAATTCATTCAACGTTCTCTAGCCTTTGCTGTTCTAATTAGTTTTTTCACTGGTGTTGTATTCCCACAACTGGTATGTACTTACTCTATCTGGCAGGTCCAGTTCCTGACTGTTTTATAATTTTGGTCTAGAATCCTCTATCAAATACCTCCAATGTGAAGTGTGAACCCTCACACATAGACCAAATGTTGGAGTTATGCTACACGGAAAAATCTGGGTTCCTAAAACCATT